GTGTGCATCACCTGTATACCTACCTCTATATTAATTCTATCCCTCACTTGACCTCTTTTCCCGGATTTTCCTACCCTTCCCGTTTTCCTTTCTGATGACTGTTACTTGTTCTTGTAGTCCGAAGTTTGTTTTTTGTTTTAATTTAGTTTATTTCTTGATTTCACGTGTGCATGAAATCGTGGTTTTTCTCTTTCTCTGGGTGACTTATTTCACTAAGCATAATCCCTTCTAGGTCTATCTACGCTGTGCAAGTGGCAGGATTTAATTTATTTTTCATGGCTGAGTAGTACTCCACGATGTATCTATTCCACATCTTACCCAATCATCTGGTGATGGGTACTAAGTTTGTTTCCATTCTTGTCCATTATATACAAGGTGGCTATGAAATTGTGGGTGCATGTATCTCTTTAAATTAGTGTTTTTGTTTTCTGTGGATAAGTGCTCAGGGGTAGGATAACTGCATAATATGGAATTTCTAGTTTTAATTTTTTAAATCTCCATACTGCTTTCCATAAGAGCTGCATCAGTTCGCATTCCCATGAACAGTGTAAAAGGATTCCCTTCTCTGTGTCCTCTCTAACATTTGTTCCCTGACTTTTGAACAATAACCATTCTCACTGTGTTGTGGTATCTTATTGTAATTTTGATTTGCATTTCCCTAATAATATGAGATAATGAACAACTTTCCTTGTGCCTGTTGGCTACCTGTATGTCTACTTTGATAAAGTGTTTGTTCAGATCCTCTGCCCATATTTATTTGGCTTGTTTGGTTTTTGCTTCCACCTCTTGAGGAGTAAGTGGCAGGCTTCTAGAAAATGTCTAGGACAGGAGATATTGTTGCAACCATCTTTAAAAAACTAAAATCCACCACAACCTCCATCAGGTTTTTCTCACAACTGAATTGTAGATATGTTAGTTACTTGTAGTACAGGAATATGGTAACTTCTGTTTCTTGAAATTCCCATCCAATAAAGGAAAAGATGACATTCAAGATGTGATTGAAAACTCTTTTGGGAGAGTTCTGTTCTGATTAGGGATCAATGAAAACCAAATCTTCCACTGAGGATTTTATGTTTGGTTGGATGAATTTCCCATAGTCTGGTTTCTGCTCTGTGTATTTCAGGCCTTGTCTCTCTTCTTCTCCCCAACTCCTCTCGTCACAGGACAGCCCTTGGTCTGGTACCTCTGTGTCACAATGCCAGATGAGTTGGCACAGTGGGTGGTAGGAATGTTTGGGAAACTATTCCTAAACCAGAATGGCTAGCAATAACTTCATTAGATATGAAAATGACTGCAAATCGCATAACTTTTCTCACTAATCTGAAATTAAATACATCTCTAACTCAACTTCTCCTTAACTAGGTCTGAAAAATATCCATAGTCACATCAGCACTAACAGAGTTAATGTAAGAATGAGAAGACAAAACAGTCTTAGACAGCTGGGATTAAAACAGTTTACTTTTGCAAATTTTGCTAAAACATTTGAACACAAGAAGACCTCTCAGAGCCTTGGAGGAGGAGATCCCAGCTTAAGCGTCATTAGTTTCATGTGAACCCACCTCTGCCTGCATGTAGTCCATGTAAGTGTTACTGTGAGCACTGGCTCCATTTCTGACAATGGAGCCCTTTCCGTGATGGCCAGCTGACTACATTCAGGGGTCCAGCTTTATATTCTCCAGGCTCTTATCCAGCACTTCTTGCAGTTCAAGAGACCCCCTTAGCCACACTTTTGCTTTCTGTGGAAGCCAGCTTGATCGGAAAATATGATACAATAAGCTATTTTGACAGGGACTGTACTCAGAGGCATTTTATTACAGCATTGTTTGTAGTTGTTACATTTTATTGTTAGTTATTGCTGTTTATCTCTGACTCTAAACTTTATCATAGGTGTGCATATATACAGGTCAAAATATAGTATAGGGCTCTCCCTGATGGCATAACGGGTTAGGATGTAGCACTGCAAGCTGGCTGCAGCTGCCTTAGTGCAAGTTTGATCCCCGGCCCCAGAGGTGACCCACATGGTGCAGCAGACCTCTCCTGACTCATCCGCTGCTCCCCTCAGCAGTATGCTTTGTCGATCTACCTTTTCTGCTCCCTTCTGTCTCTGGTGAATCCGCTCACTGTCTGTGCACCTCTGGCCTCTACCCCAGGTTTGTATGCATAAATGAATAAACATTAAAAAATATTTATATAGTATACATAGCACTTGGTACTATCTGGGATTTCAGGCATCCACTGGAGGCCTTGGCACTTACTGCCCTCAGATAAGGGTCCACTACTGTGCTTCATGCACCAGGGGTCACTTGGCACCTGTGAGTCCAATGAACCATCACCAGGCCTGGGCCACATGCTGGAGATGAAGAAACAGCACCCCAACTGTAGGGGGGGAGCATGAGGAAAGGGTTGGCTCCACAGTGGAAATTTGGAAAAATGAAAGGGGCTATGAATAACAAAGGGAAAAAATAGATGTTTTTGTGAGCAAATTTTGCAGAGGGGAAGTGGTAGGAAGGGGGAAGGCCAACAAGGGCAAGTGATGACAATGAAAAATATTAGGTGTCCAAGACTGCCTCCAGCCTGGCAGCTTGGGTGGGGCCTGCACACAGAGGTGTCCCTCCCTCAGGGATCCGATAGGCCTGGGTGAGCAACTAGTGGTCTCAGCTCAGCTGTGCTGCTGGCCCTGCACCAGACTGACCACCTCCAGATCGCCTCTGCCTCCTTTTATGTCTTGTTGGCTTGCCCTGTGTCTCTCTTGGCCTACCTCTTCCTGTCCCTGCTCCCTAAACACAGTCTTGTCCAGGTAGCAGAGGGTGGAGGCTGTGGGAAGCAGGTAGACCAGCAATACTGAAGTCAACAACAACTGTGCTTCCCTCCGCTTGTCCCCTCCAAATTCCAACTTCGGTTTCAACCTCATAAAATCCTGAATCTTGGTACATCATTCTGGGAAGTTGCTATTGGAGGAATCCTTTTTCTCTCATCCATGGGAAGCTCTGGGCCTTCTCCCTGTCCCCCGCCCCCACCCCCACTCTCCTAATAAGGTGGCCACTAAGTACATGAGGCTCTTTACATCACATCTGAACTTGACCTAATCTGAAGGAAGATATGTGTAATATGCTGTAAATGTAAAGCACACAGTGGGTTTTGAAGACTAAATATGAAAGACATGTAAATCTATCTCCTTAAAAATTGCATATGTTGATTACATGGTGAGTTGATAATAGCTTACACTATTGAGTTACCTGAGACCATTTAAAAAATTCATCTCACCTGTATCTTTTTACTTTCTAAAATGTGGCTTCTAGAAATTCAGTTTGCATGTAGCTCACATGATATTTCTACTGGTTAATGCTGCTCTAAACCCTTTTCCAGAAGCGCTCGCACGTATACATGCCTACATAAGTTTGCATATAATTTCAGGTTCTGTTGGCAGTGTCCCATCATGGGCCCCAGCCCGAAATCAAAACTCTCTGAGTCAGGAATTTCACAACTTTCCCTGGGCCCAGCATCCTCAAGCCCTTCCCTGCACAGATGGGGAGGCTGAACTCCAACACCTCCGAGGGAACTCAGGGGCCCTGTCCTGTGGGGCGCCTGTGGGGCATCTGTGGGGCATCTGTGGGGCTTAGGGGTCCTGGCCTCCCATACTGGTATAGAGGGCTGGCTCTGGGGCTCTGGTTATGGAGAATAAGGCTGAGGTGCTCCCCAGGCGGTTCTAGGTGAGGCACACATGAGGTCAGGGAGACGTTAAACACTTCCTAGGGGCCAGATTTCCTCAGTGCTCCTGCCATTCAGGGATCACTGGGGAGCTGCAGGCTGCTGTGGCTTCTGGTAGGCAGGGGTGGGTGGGTGCCAGGCTGGGCTTGGCCACAGACCCTTGTGAACTTGGGCATTGCTTGTTTGTGACCCACGTTGGAATGAATTGCTCTTGTGGTTTTCTACATTTTACGTTGCTTTTTTTTTTTTTTCCAATAGTTTTTACATCTGGTTTGTGGACCCAGGAAGTATTTCCATTTCCCATTCAGTTATTTCTCACTGGTTTATAAAACATTTTAAACTTTTTGTAAACTTTTATTTTCTTCTTTTCCTTCTTTTTTGGCCAATTCTCCATAATACACTTCAGATCCATTTGGAATGATATTACTTCATTTTCATTTTCCCCGAAAAGCAAATCATTACTGTCCAATGAGTTCGTGAATTTGGCAATGAAATGAGGGGATCCATGTCATTTCAGAGAGCATTCAGTTCCTTTGGGAACATTGGGTAAACAGTTAAGTGACTTCACAGAACATTTTTTCTTTAATATTCAAACCTGAGAGTTTTCTGATTGGTTTGTTTTGCCTTTATGACAAAGTTTGCTATTTGAGCCTATTAGAAATGGTCTGAACTCTCAGAAATGCCACACTGAGGGCTGAGAGTAGAGGGGAAGGTAAAGGTTCTAGAGCGAGGAAAGTCCAGGGCCTCCCCCTCCCCAGCTCCCAGTGGCCGCTCAGGTCTGCCATGACTGAATTACTCTTCATACAGGTTCCTGTACAGGGAGCTCCTGAGGAGGACAGGTGCTCAGGTGCCACCCCCTCCCCCTCCAAATCCCCCACCAGAAGCCACCTGCCTTAGGCTGAGGCTGGGCTGTAGGGGGTTCCTTAGGTCTTCCTGCACCACACCACACCCCCATCCTTAGGGGAAACAGCTCTCCCCACCCAACTGCTCCTGGGCCTTGTCTTCCCTCTCGCTACCTCTATAGTCCTGACACCCTAAGTCTGAAGGGGTGCTCCACCCACCAGGTCCTGGAGCCCTGCCAGAAGCTCTTGGAGATGCCTATTGGCCCGGCTTCTCGGGGAAGAGGAGAAGGCGCTGGCCTGAGGGAGTGACCTGGGGGTGGAGCCCCAACTTGTTTATAGGACTGCGACTCTTCCGAGGCTGGCAGACTCAAGGTTGGTCCCATCTCATTGGAAAAATCAAAGCCATCCAGGGAGCAGGCATCTTAGCAGAAGCTGGGCCGACTGGTTGGCATGGACAGACTGACACCTAGGGGACCATGTGGCCATCCTCTCCAGGTAACTGTGTTGCTGAGCCCGTGGGTACCGCTCAGGGCAGGACCTGGGCCCAGACCCGGGGTCACGGTTTAGGCAGAAGCCGAGGGTGGGAGGCAGAGGGTGAAGAGTCTGTGCTTGGACATGGGGAGTGGGTGAGATGTGCCAGTAACGGCCACTGAAGCAAGAGCCCAGGAGATCAGAGCCTCCTCACTGTGAGTGACCAGTGCCCTTAGAGCCCCTTCCTGTCCTCCCCACAAAGACCCACTCCCCACCTGAGAACTCGGGGGCTGCATGTCACAGAAGGAGACATCCTGGGATGGCTGGGGCCCAGGGACCACCCTGTGTGTCTCGGATCTCTCCTGGCCCAAACCCCTATCCACTGGCAATTATTTACTGAACCCAAGAACAGTGGGGCTGCTACCAGTCTCAGGAGCCCTACGCACTGTTCACTGTCCCCCTGCATGCGCCCCTCAGTCTCCACTTCTCATTCTCTGCCGGGACCAGCTTCTCAGGCCTCTTTTGGTGACCCGACAGTGCCCCATGAAAGGGGCTGAATGCTCAACTCACTGCCCCCTGTGCAGTGTGGATCTTGCTAAGCTCCTGAGATCCAGGCCCACCCAAGTGGGTCCAGACAAGTAGCTCCAGACAGATGGTTTGATTAGGGGCTGAAGGGCTCTGGGAGGAACCCTAGGCTGAGGCAGGAGGACAGTGGTGACTGAGGGACTGAGCAGCCCTGGCTCCACCTCCACCTGCTCCTCCCATCCGGAGCTCCAGAATACCTGTTCATGAAGTCTCTTTCTTCAGCCTCATCATGCCCTGGAGAAGGCTGGCTTCCTTGTCCTCCTGCCCTCTCCCGTGCTAAGTCCAGAGCAGGGACGAAACCAAAGCCACAGGGTCAGTGACCCTGGGAGACTGAGTCTGCCCACACAGCAGGGAGCACCAGGTGGTGTCCCCAAAACCCTGCCCTTAAGCCCCAGCCTTCAGCTCAGTTCCTGGGACAGGGCAGTTTGAGCAACAACCTCACCCAGCTTCGTCCCTCCTGGACTGGGGACTGGAGCCTGCTTGGCAGCAGGAACTTGGCTGGTAGGGCAGGCCAGGCACCCGGGACTTGCTTTGGGAGGTGCCTGCTGTGTAGTCCGGGAGCATGGCCTGACTCAGGAGGTGCTGGCCCCAAGGCTATGCCTGCAGCCCCTCCTCCCCTCTCTCCTGCCTCCCCCCGCCCCCCCCCCACAAGTCACTGGCTGTTAGCAGGGCAAACAGTCCTCAGCTCATTTTTCTTTTCCTGCTAAAGACTCCCAGATATTCTCAACCCCAGTCTGAGGGGCTCCTGCTCCCTCCAGTGGCCTTGGGCAGCACTGAGCTGCTGTAGGGAAGATGAGTGAGGAGGCCCTGGGGCCCCTGCATAGGGGAGACTTGATGTCTGAGACTCTCAGCAGGGGCTGGGCTGGGGAGTCCCCTCCAGGATCATCCAGGGGCTGTCATCAAGCGAAGGTGGGGGGTGGCGGGGAACCTCGATGTCCTCAGAAGAAATCACATGAGTTAGCATGTTAGTTCAGTAATCACGATTGTCGAAAGTAAAGGCATGAATTCTAGTGCCAGATAGCCACAGGGCAATGGGGGGAAGGTTGCAAAATTTAAGAAACAGTCTGGGAAGGTACACGAGGGCTGTGGACTCTGACCTTGAAGACCTAGGTTGGAGTCCTAACTGTGTCTCCTACTGTGACCCAGGGAAAGTGAGCCTTTCTGAGCCTCAATTCCCTCGTCTATAAAATGGGAGGAAATCAGAGCACTCTCCAATGAGGTTGTCAGGGGGCTTCATCGAGTTCGAGTACATACTTTGCTTAGTACATACTTTGCTTAGTACACACTGGAAGCATAAGCACTACAATAGTAATAAGAACAATTATCTAGGCATTCTTCAGCTAACCATTCTTTTGAGCATGCAATAGGCATGAGCACATTCAACCTTACAACACGGAGGTCAATACTATTACGTTCCCGTGACGTATGAGGAAAGAGACTTGCCAAGAGATTTAGTGAGCTGTCTGGGGTCACACAGCAGGTGGGTTGAGATCCAGGTAGCCTGGCTTGGCGCTTGCCCTTGGCATGCCACTCCACTCCCCTCTGGAGAGACCCACCATTGTGACTATTGTCATAGCCGGCCCTCTGCTGTGCTAGTGGTGGTCTGAGGGGTGAAGAGAAATGCCCTACCAGGGACAGTGGCTTTCTGAGGTTGAAAGTCTCTCGATGACTAGAGGGAAAGTGAGCAATAAGATGGGGGCCCCTATTAGTGACCCCAAGTGGCTTTAGAGCATGAGGAAGAAGGAGGCGTGGGGGCCGCCGCTGCCTCCCTGCAGCTTGGAGAGTGGGCTCTGAAGCACAGCCCTCTGCGGGATCCGAGTTCTCCGTCATCATCTCCTGGGGCAGGGGAGCTGGAATCTGGGTGTGGGGAGGAAGTAAAGCCAGCTGTCTAAAACATTAAAGCCTGCCGATGACAGCTGCTGGCTTAGGACCTATAGAGGTGGAATAACAATGGTGTCACTGGAGTTAATCCCTAGGGAGGGAAGAACAAGTCTGCCTCGCTGAGGGGTCACGTGTCCTGTGGACTCTACCAGAAAGCTGCAGGAATGCCAAGGGCATTCATCATGGAGTCACAGGAGTGGGACCTAGGGGCTGGGGGGGGGGGGGGGCTGTTGAGGCCTGAGTCCAGGGTGGCTCCCTGTGACCTCCTGTCCTATAGGGTTCTGGTGGGCAGTGGAAAGTCAGGTCCCTGTGGGCACTGAGCAACCACTGCCCCAGGCAGCGCCTGCGTGCTCTGCACAGCCGGGTCCAGTGGGCACTGATACCACCCACCACACTCTGGAAAGGAGGACGGGTCTTGGGAGGGTGCAAAGCAGGAACAGCTTTGATGTCATCACAGCACTGTCTCCCCACCAGGCAACGTGAATGTTCAGAATGTTCCCCACCAAGCACAGTGCTGCCTCCAGCTCCCTCGGGTGGGTGAGGGGAATTAAAGGGGCAGATGGGACGGTACTTTCTCAGCGTGGGCCCGACCTGGAGACAGAGCCCTCCAGTGGGGTCCTCCAGTGGGGTACCTCTGTGAGTCAGCCTGTAGTGACACCTGGATGTGAGCCTGCACCTGCTTGAGTCGGGCCCCAGGGCCTCCCTCCGAGTGCAGGCAGTGCTCTTTCCTGACAGCCCCTGTTCCAGCAGTCTTCCCTACAGGCCCCTCCTGCTGTGGCCACGCACAGGCAGGGCGCCTTTCAGGAAGAGGCCGGGGAAAATGTCCTTTTGTCCGGCCGGGCCCATTTGTGTTAGCCTGGGTCCCTGGGGCTTAGTATAAGCAACACGTAGACTGTACCCAGGAAATGCTACACAGCCGAATTCAAGAACTGGAAGCTAAGGCCTCCTGGGTCCCAACAGCGCCAAGGATCTCCGCAGTCGGAGCTTGGGGATGTCCCCTAATGCCCTGTCCCCAGCAGAGCTCAGCCACACCTCATTTGCCCTCCGCTTTCTCCTGCCTTAACCTTCTCTGCCCCTTGAACTGCTCACTTGTTCACTTCTTTCTCCTCACTGGGCTTTGTCTGTGGGCTGACATGGCCCTGCCAGTGTCTAAATATACAATGACCTTGTGTTCAGGGAGCTCATGGTAATGGGCTGATACCCATAGGATGCCTATTTCACACCCAAGGGAGAACAGATGGACTGAGTCCTGTGATAGTCACAGGCCACTGGGCTGGCCAGGGCTCAACTCCCTGGAGTCACATGCCCATTTTCTGCCTGGAGGGCTGGGGGACACCGGACAGGAGGTCACACATGTGACTAGAGGGAGCTGGGGCTGTCTGTCCCCAAACCCACAAGCCCGGAGGAATGATCGTTCTTGGCCTTCATTTGCTGGCTCACACCGCATGATCCTGTCCCTAAGTGGGTCCCCACAAATTCCACCCATGTGACCTGTCATTCTCTCAGGGCTGCAGCCCAGAACCTCAGCCCAAGGATAGGGTGGCAAATGCTGATTTGTGTCAGGACACCTGGCAGGGTGTCAGCCTCAACAAGCATCCCTGAAGATTTGGCAAAGATTGGTGGGCCCAGAAATAAACAGGAGGGACTTAGTGCATTGCTGTTTCTCCCCAGGAAGAGGCCTGTGCCTGCTGCCGGCTCACCGTGAAGGTCCTGGAAGCCCGGAGCCTGCCCCGGGCTGACCTGTGTGAGTAACTGTCTTTTGCACTTCAGGGGCGTGGGGTGACTGGACCCTATGGGCCTAGTCCAGACACATGCCTTGGGTGGGACTGGGACCCCCACCGTGGTTGTCCTGGGCTTGGGGGTGAGCCCCCTTGGGGTCTGAGGAGTTCTCTCATGATGGTTCCCTTGGCAGTGAGTGAAGCAGACCCATATGTGACCCTGCATTTTCCAACGGCACCTGGAACAAAGTTTAAAACCAAAACAGTCACAGACTCCAGTCATCCTGTGTGGAATGAGAGCTTCAGCTTCCTAATCCAGAGTCGGGTCAAGGTAAAGTGCAGGGTACCCCGGGCCACTCACCTGAAGATAGGCCATATCCCCACGCAGAAGTTTCTGGAATAGAGCTTACCTTCCTCTGCGGCCCAGTAAGAGAAACTGGGGAGGAGGGGTCTCTGTGCCCCAGCCCTGATCTGTTGTGTGTGAGAGGAGGAGTGAGCCCGCCTGCTGGCTGTGAGACAGTCAAGGAAATGGAGACAGTGGAGTCACCTCCGCGGGTCGTTGTGAGGCTTGGTGAGGTAATGCTCAGTGCCTTGCAGGTGGTCACTTCTGCCAGCAAAATGGGCATGGGGTGGGCGAGGAGGGTCAGGGGAAACTCTGATAATATTTTATTCATTTATTTATTTATTAAAGATTTTATTTGTGCACACAGAACCGAGGTACAGGCCAGAGGTTCAGGGGCGGTGGGAGGATTCACCAGACAGAGTGGGGAGCAGAACAAGTAGATCAGTGAAGTACACTGCTGAGGGGTGCAGCAGGTTGGTCAGGAGAGGTCTGCTGTGCCATGTGGGTCACCTCCAGGGTTGGGCATCAAACTCTCACTGAAGTGGCTGCAGCCAGCTTGCAGCGCTGCATCCTAACCATTGTGCCACCAGGGAGGGCCCGACATTTTATTTTTTATAATAGCCAAGATCAGCAGGCAAAAGTGAAAAACATCCCTGGATTTCCTTTTTTCTTTCTTTCAAGTTCTTCCATACCTTTTATTTTGAAGTACAAAGTGTGCAGGCATAATACTCTTTTCAGGCTCAGGGCATCAAGTGAACAGATGTGACCTACAGCTGTAAGTACACACATACCTCAGAGACACTGTGGCTAGTTGCGATGGTGACGATGAAGTGAGTCACACACCACTTATGTCCCAGTGCGTCTGAAAATCAAGTTTATACTAAACTGCAGTCTGTGAAGTATGCAGTAGCATTATGCCTAAAAATAAAAGTACATTCTGTCACTCCTGAATAAGCAAGACCTTAAGTTGTAGAAAAATGTACATGTTTATTTGGGGTTTTATAAAGATTGCAGACTCCAAGATACAAATTCAGGGCCCAGAAGAGTGGTCCGAGTTGCCTGGATGGGGTAGGGTTTTAGCCACAGAAAAAGTAGGACAGTTCTCACTTAGGTCAGCTGTGCAAATGAGGGTTAGAAGTTCATCTAGTTTCGACTAGAGGCCCATTATGCAAATTGGGCTAGAAATAAGTCCAGCACCACTGGGTGCAGCCAGGTGAAAAGAGTTGATTGAGCAAGGATGGGTCTATTTCAGCCCAGGGTGGCGTGGGCCTGCTTTGTTTCTGCTCCTTCCTGTGTCAGAGTGAACAGCTGAGCCTGGGGCCTCCATACTGCTCTATTTTGGTATTACTCAGACACAAATGGCTCCCTTTTCTCCTTTCCTTTTTAAACATAGGTCTTGTCAATACCTTAATTAGATTTGACCTGAGCCAGGCAGTGAACTGTGTTGTTGGGAAAATGATTGGCTGACATGCTTGCCCCTGGTTATCATGTCCTATAATTTAAAAAATATATTTATTTATGCATACAAGAATTGGGGTACAGGCCAGAGGCATGGGGGAGGGGGTGAGAGGATTCACCAGAGACAGAACAGACACAAATGGCTCCCTTTTCTCCAGTCTGCAGAACAGGCAGACTGACTGAAATACACTGCTTGAGGGGAGCAATGGGTGAACCAAGAGAGGTCTGCTGCCCCATGTGGGTCACCTTCCTGGCCAGAGATCATTGTGCCACTAGGGAGGGCCTGCCCTATAATTAAAAAAAAAAAAGTCAAAATATCTGCAAAGTGAAATCAAATCAGGGCCATAAAGGAGGTATGACTTTAAGTGCATGTTGCTCTCTCTGGCCCCTAGAATGTTCTGGAGCTGACTGTCTGCGACGAGGACTCCGTCACCGAGGATGACGTCCTCTTCCAGGCTCTCTATGATGTCTCGGAAGTGCTCCCAGACAAGCTGCTCCGGAAAACCTTCTCCAGGCAGCCCCAGGTGGGTGAGCAGACTCTGCGCTCTCCTGGCTCAGCTCCATGCTGAGAACTGCGCTGTTTCTCCCAACTGTTGGGAGGCTGCTGGGGTGAACTGGCTGGTAGAGTGATGGCAACCACTCCCAGGGGGTTTAAAAGGAAAGGGAAACGAGGAGCTTTGCTGGATTTCCTTTTAATAGGAAAGGAGGAAGGGAGAAGATCCTCTCTGAGCTCGACTGTGACTTTACTAGGAAAGCAGAAGGTTTAACTTGAGGATCTCTCGGTAGGAGAACTGTGGTCATCTGTGGGAAGGTGCTGGGCGGTGGAGAGCCTTCCAATATCCCTTGAGACACAGCTCAGTGTAACCCCTGCCCGCTGCCACTGCCCTCCCGCAGCACCCAAGCCTGCCTGTGAAAGTCTCTGCTCTCCTTGGGGGGAAAGGGGTGGGGGAGGGCGGGCCCGCCCAGGTAGGTCAGAGTCCTAGGGTCTGAGCCCCTCAAGAGGAAGATGAAATGGGCCTTGGAATCTGAGCCCCGTAAGAAGAAATGAAATGGGTCTGAGGCCCTCAGAGGAAGATGAAATGGGCCTTGGGCTTTCTTCTGCCTCCTTGGCTTGTGTTCCTCATCTCCCTTCCAGGCTTCACAAGGAGGGAGACCACTGTCCGCAGTTACTAGCAGTGGGTGACTTGGGTGGCTAACTCACCTTCCCCTGAACCTCAAGTCCCATGTCTGTAAAATGGGAAGAGCCATTAGATGTGTGTTAATGTTGACAATTGCTCATCTTTGATTTCAGGGGCAGGAGGAGCTGGATGTGGAGTTCCTGCTGGAGAAAACGTGAGTAGTCACAGCCCGGAGCATGTCAGGAGCAGCTCTACTTTGGGGACTCTTTGAAGCAGAACTTCCTGCTGCTTCAGCCAGCCAAGCAGTGTGGCTCCCCTCCCCTCCCCCCCACCCCCCACTCTGGTCTGAGTAGGGAACCCTCATAGAGAATGGCAAAAGGGGTGTCAAGATTTTCTCTGCCCTACCCTCTCCCTTTCTCTTTCTCCTCTCTCTGTTCAGAAGCATCTCCCTCTCCCCCTGAGTAGTAATCAGCACTTAGGGAGACCTCCGCATCACCCAGGGAAACCCACATGGGCTATCAGGGGCAGATCATTGCAGGAAACACTTCTGCAAGACTAGACTCTGGGTCGTTTGATTTTTCCAGGTCTGACAACCCCGAAACCCTCATCACCAACAATGTCCTCGTGGTAACCATCTTCCCCAGGGTTGTGAAAGGCGGGGGGTGGAAGAAGGGGCCCAGAGTCGACACTGGCTGGGGCAGCTGCCTAGGGGTTCAGGAAAGATGATCAAGGCAAGCAAGGAAGGGGCTCTGTGGTGAGGGCACCATGGTCCTCCAGCCTGGTGGTCACATGGGGCCGTGGAGCTTGGAGGAGCCTGGGGTTAAAAAGAACAGAGACAGTGACCGCTGAGTCTCTGCAGAGAGGAAGGAGGTCCTGGCTCACAGGCTGGATGGCCGAGGGAGTGGGGACAGGGATTTTGTAGGTGCTTCCTGATGGCCTCATGATGAATTCCAAGTGTTTAGTCCTGGAATGTGGTAGAGGCCAGGTAGGCCAGGCTGGGCCCAGGTTGTCAACAACAAATAACAGTTCAGAAGTCCCTGTGGGGTGTTTCCAGTCCAGGGACCTTGGGACAGAGTCAGGGGCTCAATCCACGTCTCCTTGGGGGCAGTGGAAAGCCCTGCTCGGCTCCTCTAAAAGAGCAGCTCTGAAACCTGGAGTGGACAGGAACGGGAGCAAGGTCACAAGTGATGCACTAGACACTGTCTCCTCCAAGTGCGCTCCTGAACACTGCAATGCAGGTATGACAGGGCAGCCAGCCCGACCCTACATGAGGTAAGGTGCTTAAACCGCCTGTGGAAGTAGGCACAATGGTGCCCTTTCTCGCATACACACTCAGATGGCCACCCTGAGGGCTGCGGGAGACCAGCGGAGGCTGAGACTTCCTGCAGTTCTGTGGAAGAGTGTTAGCAGGCTGCAGCAGCAGTGGGTGTGCTTCTGGGGAATGCAGCAGGCTCATTGGGCAGGTTGGCTGAGTGGAGGACCATCAGGAGACAGCCGGGTGTTAAAGCTCCACTCTGCTGCAGGGCCTGCACACCACTCTTTGGGAACAGCAGTAGGATAGTGCATCTTCCAGATGGAGGCCAGAGAAACGTGCAGAGGAAAAAGAACTTGTCTGAGCGTGGGGGGCCTTCTGAAGTTCTAGATGTTTGGCAGATCTGAGAGAGTTGGGGGTGGGTGGTGCTGGCCACCTCCCCCCACCCCCCAGGCTGCTCCAGGACATCTGGCTTAGCAGCAGCAGCAGGTCAAGAGTGGGGTAACCCGTTTCTGCATCTTGTCCTACTCTGGCTCTTCCTTCTTGCTCCCACCTGCTCTGTGGGTGGTAAATTTGGAACAGTGGGGTTCAGGGGGTGAGCTTCCCCATGGAGCCCCCTGCCCATAATGTGGTCTGCCTCAGGCCCGAGAGCTGGCATGCCTGGATGTCCATGCGGGGAGCACAACCACGGTTGCAGGTGAGATCTGCTCTGCACCAGGTCTGGTCTCCCTGGAATGGGGTGGTGGGCAGAAGGGCTGTTCTGGAAAACCCGTGCAAGGTGGTTGGTGGGTAGCAGGATAGAGGTCACCTATCCCTTCTTGCCCACACAGCACAAAGGCCAGAGTTGTCCTTTGGGAAGCAGGCTCCTGATACCAGGGAGAGCATGCCCCAGGAGGGTGGTGTCCAGGGGGTTGTCGGGCCCAGCCTGTGCAGAATCCTGTTTAGCATGGTTGAACCTCCCAGGCCACTACGATGTCCAGGCAGTACCACTGGTTTTCTGGGCCAGAGTTAGGGTTCAGACTCTTGTTCCCCTCTTACTAACCAGCCCTCTCTTTCCCTAGATCAAGAAAAATTGGAGTTGGAGCTGGTGCTGAAGGGGTCTTATGAGGACACACAGGCCTCTCCTTTGGACATGGCCTCCACCTTCCGCTTCCACTACTTGGCGGCCCAGGAGACAGAGCTGAGTGGGCGCCTGAGGGTGGGTCTCGGCTCTGGGGTCTCCCATCAGTTCTAGCAGGCTCATTCCTACCAGCTCCTGCAGCTCCGTAGACCCTTTCCTGGTCTTCCACCTGCCAAGGCCAGACCCTGTGACCTGGGGTGGGTCTGTTGCACGATGTCCTTTTACCTCTCAATGGCTCGTCCAGTAGCGCTTTTAGAATAAAACCCCATGTCTGCACAGAAGGCCCCACACAGCCTGGCCTCTGCCTGCCTCTGCTGCCTTGTGTTGCTCTGGTTCTCCTTGTTCGCAATGCTCTGGTCATACTTGTCTTTTCTTGCTTTCCCAACATGCCAAGCGCTCTCCCTTCCCTGACTCCTAACAAGGTTATGCCTCTTCCTCCTCCGCCTCTTCCTCCTCTTCTCCTCCCCCCCCACCTCCTCTTCCTCTTTTGATTTTCTTCTTCCTTTTTTAAATTTCAGATCAAATTCTGTCTCTCCAGAGGGGCCCTCTTTGCTCCCATCTCCCCTCCCATCTTAAACGTACCCTGCCTTTGGGATCCTCTACCCCATCACACTGCTGTTTCCTGTACAGCACTCACTCATTTCAGTTCTTTAGCTTGTTCTTTACACATTCACACCTGTGGTTCCATTAGGATAACAAATAAATATTAGTTCTTTGTTATTCTTGTAGTTATGATAATTATAACAATGATAAATATTGTAATCATTATCATATTATCAGGGAGACACTGTCTGTCTGGGTCACCGTCTAGATAGTCAGTGAAGACCTGTTGAATGAATGAATGATTATTTCCCCCCAGAGCTCTAAAAGCTATGGTTGGAAATCAGACAACTCAACGGGACAGCTCTCTGTGCCTCTGAGGCCCTTGGCCATGGGGAAGGAGGTGACCGTTAACATTCCTGCTACAAATGTAAGTGACTTCAAAAAGGTAGGAAGTGCTGGGGAGAATAAAGTTAGGGGAGCCCAAGGTGTCCAGGAGATACCCATTCTCCCTGCAGAGTCTAAACAGGGTTTCTTGCTTTGATTTCAGGTCCCAGGAGTAAGGCTGCAGCTCAAGGCAGAGGGCTGGTAAGGGATACTCGTGTCTTTGGTCATGGCCAGGGAAGTGCCATGGGAAAGGACGGTCATCGGGGTCACATGTAGGGAGGTCATTTGTGGCTTGGCCAGCCAGTGGCTAAGCTGGGCGGCTGACCCCTAGGCTGGGCAGGTGTCCCCTCATGCTAGAATCTTCCTGCCTCAGCCCCAGGGAGCCGGCCGTGCGCCTGGGCTTCGATCTGTGCGCCGAGGAGCAGGCCTTCCTGAGCAGGAGGAAGCAGGTGGTGGCCCGGGCCCTGAAGCAGGCCCTGCAGCTGGACAGAGACCTGCAGGAGGATGAGGTTTGGAAGTGTGAGGGGGGTGCGAGGAGGGAAGGATCGGCATGGGTACAGACAACTTGGACTGACCTTAAAGGAGTATTTGATTTCTCCGCCTTCTCTAGATACTCTAGTGTCTAGAGCAGAGACTGGGGAATGGGCATGTCAGGGGGAGATATAGAGCATGACTAAGCTCTGGGGTTCTCATTCCCTCTGGGCTTCTCCGAGCAGAGAGCTGTCATTTCCTGTGGTGGGGTTGGGCTCTAGTTCTAACCCTGACTCTGTCAGACGCTGATCCTGAGGTCCCTGGAGGCAGACATTTTCCTCTTCTTAGAAGCCAAACTGTGTCTGTGTGTGGTCCAGGTCCCCGTTGTGGGCATTGTGGCCACGGGAGGAGGTGCCCGGGCCATGACGTCGCTCTATGGCCACCTGTTGGCCCTGCAGAAGTTGGGCCTCCTGGACTGTGTGACCTACATCAGTGGAACTTCAGGCTCTACATGGTGAGGGCCCTGGGGACTGGGAGAGCAGAAATGACCAGGATCCTGAGCGGGGATGGGGGGGAATGGATGACACCGTAGTTGGGGTGCCAAGTGGGTGTGAGCAAATCCGGTCTGGTGGGTGTTGGGCAGTTTCTCAAAAAGAGGAAAAATGAGTGAGGAAATGTGAGACATGAATTCCCAGATCTACCGGAGAGGCGTAAGGTAGCTGATTCAGAGGAGCTGATTTGCCTCTCAGTAATGCCACGTCTTGGCTGGGTGACCTTGAGCAACTCATTTCCTCTGAGCCTCGATTGACTCACCTCCAAAATAGGGATAATCACAGCACATTCCTCACAGGATTAGAGTGGGACAGCCCAAGCAAAGCACACCACATGTTGACCACATACCGGGGCTCCAATCTGGTAGCCCCAATCTTATTTCTTTCCTTGTTATAAGCTCATTTAATTGTCACAACATCCTATCACGTGGTTCCTCATGTCCCAATTGCATAGCCGTGGTGTTGAAGTCAAGAAATGCTGTTTTACCTAGAGATAGCAAGACCCCCCTGAACCCCACCCTGAGTATGATAAGGTGGTAAGTTACACTGTGAGAGATTCATTCCTTTGAGTCTTTTGGAAAAGCAACTTGAAGGAATACACTCAGAGGATTTTAGGTGATAGCTGTAGACAAGAAGAAACTTGAAGGGCTTCAGGACAGAACTATGAAGACAGGAAAGCTGTTTAGAGCTGCCCCCCGGTGTCTGGGACACCTGAAATGTGATCCAAATGGAAATCTAGTCTAAATTGAGATGTTATGAATAGAAAATACACAGTGAATTTTGAAGACTTGACTTGAAAAATATAAAAATTTGTTAATTTTTTATATAATAGTTTATTTTTACATCATTTTGTGCCTTTTTCCATCTCACTTGTCATCCCCATGGACTTTCCATCACCAAATCACCCATGTGCCATCACCATAGTCCAATGCACTTCCCCTCCACCATTTTTTATCCCATTCCCCACACCACCCCCATAGAATGTCTCTGGTATATAGTTGTTCATTATTATTATTCCCTCCCCCCCGCTTTATGCTCCCGCCATCCAGTATTTTTCTTTTTCTTTCTGGCTTATTTCACTGAGAATGATCCCTTCCAGCTCCATCCATGTTGTTGTAAAAAGCATGAGTTTATTTTTTTGATTGCTGAGTAATATTCCATTGTGTATATGTACCACATCTTTTTAATCCAGTCATCTACTTTTGGGCATTTTATATTAATTTTTCATATTGATTATGCATTGAAATGATAATTTGGGGGGCATATTAAATACTAAAATTTTTGCTTAGTATCGCTTTACTTTTAAAAAAATGTAGTTACTAGAAAAATTTTAATTCTCTATTTGACTCACATTATATTTATATAGGACAGTCTTGAACTATTGAGTTGTTGAAAAAGTCATGACACATTTTTGCATAGGAAACAGAAAAATAAGTCATGACTTTTTCAACAATCCAGCAGGAGAGCCTGACACGCTCTCCAGATGTGGAGTGGTGACTTCCAAGAGCCACATTCTGTGAGAAATTGGAGGGTGAAAGGAGGAACTGCAGTCACCCATGCTGGACTGTGGCCTTCTACTGTCCTGTCCTTTTGTTCTCCCAGGACAATGGCCCACCTGTATGCTGATCCTGAGTGGTCACAGAATAACCTCCAGGGACCCATCAAACACACCCGGGAGCACCTGGCCAAGAGCAAGCTGGAGAGCTTTTCCCCCGAGCGCCTGGCAAGCTACCGCCGCGAGCTGGAGCTGCGGGCTGGGCAGGGCCACCCCACGACCTTCGTGGACCTGTGGGCTCTCGTGCTGGAACACATGCTAAACGGCCAGGTAGGGCACCTGCAGAGAGTGGGGTGTGTGCACCACCAGGCTGCATGCCTCTTTGACGTGCAAGCATTTTCTGCAGGGTGAGGTAGGGCGGGTTGTTAAAGGATGGCAGCATCACTGTGTTTTAGTATCTGCCCAACTTTGGGATCCCTCCTTTTTGAGTCAGACTGATCTTCAATTACTTGCCTAGGGACAGAAGTTTCTAAATTTCCCACTCCAGACTAGTCAGTGCCAAAATCAGTTAAGCAAACAAAATTTGCTTTGGGTTTAAGAGTTGGTGAGAGTGCTTGAACAACTTTTATTTATTCTGCTATCGGAAATGTATTCTTGATTTTTAGGGGATGGGTAAGCGAATAGACTCTGGAGTCATATTCCGTGGGTTCGGATCCCCATCTCTCTTACTAGGAATGTGTCCTTAGGCAAATTATTTTACCTTAGTAGAGGCAAGGAGAACAGTACTTAGCTTTTAGCCTGGTCACGGGTGCACCTTGACACAGAGTAGGTCTTAAGTATTAGCGACTATATTTCTTTTATTTTCCTAAGACCATTAATTGAACATGTAATTTTCTATATATTCCTTCCTTAAGGAAAGCTTAGTAAGTTAACCTCTGAATTTTATATTAACGGGTATAATTTTTAAAATCAGTGATTTGTTTCAAACTCTTACTTTACCATATTTAATTTTCTAAAAAAATTTCTGAAGCATTTGAAACAACTTGGACACCATAAAATAATTTCAACGTGCATTTTTAAAAAAAGTAAACTATCAAATATGTTAGGTAACGGAAGGATCTTTGGGAAGGAGAAATTTGGCTAAGAATGATTATCATATAGACAAACTAAAGCTAAATTTATTCTGAATTTCTTCTTTAAATGATATTCTTTTTTTTTTTAAGATATATTTATTTATGCATACAGAACTGGGGTGCAGCTAGAGGCGCAGGGGCAGTGAGAGGATTCACCAGAGACAGAGCAGGGAGCAGAACAGGCAGATTGACTGAAATACACTGCTAAGGGGAATAGCAGGCGGGTCAGGAGGGGTCTGCTGTGCCATGTAGGTGGCCTCCCTGACGGAAGATTGAACTTGGCTGAAGCTGCTACAGAGTTTCACAGTGCTGTGCTTTATCCTGTTGCGCCACCAGGAGAGCCCTAAATTATATTCTTGTTGGTGTGCACAGTGCTACTTGAAAATTACCAACCATTATTATTTTTTATTAGTTGTTTAAAATGTGCACTATAAAATTCAATTTATTGATAAGTATTTATTATGATAACCTTCAGACCTAAGAGCAAGAATAAAACATAAAGAATAATGTAATGAATATGTATGATCTCAGAAACCAGCCTAAGTAATGAGAGTTGAAGCCCCTTTGAGCCCTTAGTTGGCCCCATTTCCCTCCACTGCTGGAGCCAAATTCACCACCACCCTGATTTTAAGTTTATTATCACATGCATGTCTGTAATCTGAATCCTTTATTCAGATACTATATTAAATAAAATGTTATATTAAATAAGATATAACACATATTTTCTTAGCATGTTGTATGCCTCTACTTAATATATTTTATTTAAGATATAAATCTTTTAAAAAATGTATAGTTTTTTGCACAAATGATTTTATACAAGTCTTCTGTGCTCATGTATTATAGAGATTCTCTACGTCTTGATGATAAATACCCAGTAGTAGAAGTGTTAGGTCAGTGGGTACATGTATTTACCTCCTTCATAGCTACTACCTGTCTATTCTCCAAAAGGATTATATTAATTTTCAGTTCCTTCATCAGTGTATCATAGTTTTTGCTTATCTACATACTCTACAGACTTTAAAATTTTCGTTCATTTTATGAATGTGAAATGAAATTTGGTGGTTTTGCATGCTTCAGTTTTTAGTGAGGCCAGTCATATTTTCAAATATATTTGTGGTAGGATTGCCTACTCAAATCATTTTCCATTTTTCTATTCATCTCATCTTTTTTATGTTATCTTGTAGGAGTTCTTTACCTTTTCAGGACATTAATCTTTTATCAGGTCTAATGGATTTTGGTACATATTAATGTATTGTGCTTTTAGGGTCTTCCTTAAGAAATCTTTCCCTCCTAAGGTTATAAACTATCTTCTTACAGATTCTCATAAAAGTCTTAAGGATTTGTTTTTCTCATAAGATTTTTTTTAAAGATTTATTTATGCATACAAGAGCTGCAGTCCAGTTTTTTTCCAAAGGTGCTGGAGATGAGAAGATTTACAACAGACAGAGTAGGGAACAGAACAGGCAGATCTACTGAAATACACCGCTAAGGGGAACAGTGGGAGGGTCAGAAGAAATCTGCTGAGCCATGTGGGTCAGCTCCCTGGCCAGGGATCGACCTCATGTTCCAGTGGCTGGTGATAGCTTGATAGCACTGAGGCTTTAACCCCTCTGCCGCCAGGGAAGGCTCCACAATAAATTTTTAAACCTATCCATAATTTATCTTCAGATATCATGTGAATGGAATTCAGTTTTATTGTTTTTCCAGGTGGGATGACCAGTTATCCTAAACCATTTATAGGCTCTTTTCTCTGCTGATATGCTTTGCTTTCATACTTCATAAGCTCTTCATCCCATTCTAGTTAATTTTTTTTCTCTGTGTTAAGATACCTTTGGCTTAACTGTTTTACCTTCTTGATGCATCATGGTATCTCATAGGGCAAATTTACCCTGCTCTGCTACCTTGGTTTTTCTCCACAATTGTCTTGGTTGCATTGGGCCTTTTACTCCTCTCTATCTACAGTAGAACCAACTACTCAAGTTTCACAATAAATGTTGGAGGTTTCAGTTTAAGATTATTTACTTGTGCATACAGAACTGGGGTACAGGCCAGAGGCGCAGGGGCACCAGAGACAGAGTGGGGAGCAGAATAGGCTGACTGTTGAAGTACATTGCTGAGGGGAGCAGCAGGTGGGTCAGGAGAGGTCTGCCAGGCCATGTGGGTCACCTCCATCAGGTGGGAATTGAACTCATGCTGAAGTGGCTTTAGCTTCTTAGTGCTGTGCTTTAACCAGCTACGCCACCAGGGAGGGCCCTAAATGCTGGAGTTTTTATTGAAATTATAAATCCAATGTAATTAATTAAAATATTTTTAGTTTGTTAGTATAACCTATATATTCTTTGGATCAACTGTTTAAGTTCATGTTCAGCTTTGAGAGTGTTATGTTTTAATAACTGGCTTTTCTGCCTGGAACAGTAATTGGTTATTGTAGAGAAGGGGGAATTGTTTTAACAATTCACTTTATGAGGTGTTAGAAAATGTAGTTTGGTTTTAGACTCTAAAGAAGACTGTTATTTAGTTACCATCTGATCCAGCAATAATGATTTAATACTTAGTTTTATATACAAGATTTATAATAATTTTTTTTTAAAGATTTATTTATTTATTTGGACAGAACTGGGGTACAGGCCAGAGATGCGGAGGGTGAGAGGATTCACCAGGGACAGAGCGGGGAGCAGAACAGGCAGATGGACGAAGTACACTGCTGAGGGGAGCAGCGGGCGGGTCAGGAGAGGTCTGCCGCGCCATGTGGTTGCCTCCGGGGCAGGCGGGGATCGAACTCTTGCGGAAGTGGCTTTAGTTTCTTAGTGCAGTGCTTTAACCCGCTGCGCCACCAGGGAGGGCCATAATAATTTTTTAAAGAGTAAGTCAATTAGTTTTGTTATTAACAAAAATAAAAATCTTGTGGTATTATTGAATATAATGTGTTCTTAAAAATGAGCACCACTGAAGCTTTGAAAAATTTTGTCTCATGAATAGTTTTCAATCAATATATATATATACTGGCTTTTCTTTAGGTATTATATTTCAAATTCTAAAGAAAACATACATTATATGCTTTTCAAAATGATTACTCAGACCATTTTAGTGCTAATTTTCCAATTGAAGTCTTTGTTATCTCTGTAGTATACTGAAGTGCCAAAAATCATTTTAAATGTCAGAAAATAGTACTCCATTCAGAACAAATCACACTTCATTAAGCATTATTAGTGAAACTTTAGACCCTGAAACTTTACTCAGGACAACTTTATTAATTTATAGACTTCTCTAATATTGCTTCAGTTTATGCCAAAACACACTTGTAAAATATACTAGTTATAGGCCCTCCCTGGAGGCGCAGCGGGTTAAAGCACAGCACTGAGAAGCTTAAGCCACCTCCACATGAGTTCGATTCCCGCCTGCCCCGGAGGTGACCACATGGCGTGGCAGACCTCTCCTGACCTGCCTGCTGCTCCCCTCAGCAGTGTACTTCAATCTGCCTGTTCTGCTCCCCACTCTGTCTCTGGTGAATCCTCTCACCTCCGCATCTCTGACCTGTACCCCAGATCTGTATGAATAAAAAAATAAATCTTTAAAAAAAATATACTAGTTATAATTAGTGCTTCTCAAACTATCTCTGAAGCACTTTAATCTTTTGCTGGCTAGCACTAGCACTGTTAGTGACTCTCACCATTCCTCAAGGAAAAACTCAGAGTTGAGAGTTCTCCTGAGTTGAGTTTTCCAGTGGACTAAAGGCTTTGCAAGCCTCTGTCTCACTGTACACCCAGCCATGTCAACACGTGTCCACACCCACCCAGCACTGCAGGGGACCCTGGAGTGCCCAGAGAAGTGTTCTGCAGATTGGAAGATTCCCATCTGGAAATGGAGGTGGGGGTGTTTGAGATCCAGGAACCTCCCACAGCATGCTGGGGAGCTATTAAATTGAATATAGTGGAATCACAGGCTGACCTTGACCTAACCCTGCCCTGGGGCAGGAATTGTGCCACTGTGGTAAAAGGATTCCTTTCCCCCCATATGTGTCAAAAGAACAGACAAACAAAATTTCTAAGGAAAAGGCCCTTGAGGAGGGAAATTGTGGGTGTTGGTCAACTGCCTCCCTCCCGCACGCATTCTCATGCTCGCACCTATAGGGTAGATTTGTAGACATGACAGATTGCCAGTGCCTGGTGATTCTGCCCTATTTGGGGGATTTTCTGCGACTCCCTAGAATGCAATGAGTACCTTTGAAGAACTAAGGGTAAGTGACTTCGGTTGACATGAATGGTTGACATGATGGAGGGTCCAGGGAAAAGGGATCACACCAGTGTGCTGAGACTTGCATGGATGTAGGGGGAGGTCTCCTCGCTGGGGAGGCTGGCTAGAACCCCAGTCCGCACAGCTGGCTGCTCCCTCTAATCACCTGGGGAGACTTTAAAAAGGGAAATGCCTCTGTGGTTTCCGCAGATTCTCAAAAGGGACCCAGATATCTGTATAGAGTAGGTCTTCAAATAAGTTGTTTTCTTTTACATTGTTTGTTATATAACATTGATGAGGAAAAAATAGTTGAAGTGGAAGATGTATTCAAAGACCTGCTTTCATTGCACATTATTTTGCTTCAAATTAGTTTCCAAGAATGTGTTAAGACATGAGGAGTGACTGTATTTAACATGCTCTAAGTAAATTTGATATAAGGGCAGACATGGTGGGGTGGGAAACTTTAAGGTCTAGTCCCTGAATGACATGCCTCCCAGATCAGGAGGCTGCCAGGGTGCGTGTGTGCACGTGTGTATGTGTGGGTGCTTCTCATCCTGAGGCCTGTGGCAGAAGACCCCTTTCCACGGTGGGGCTCCAGGCAGCCACCACTGCAAGCCTTGCTCATGTATGAGGTGAACATGCATCTCTGGGCTGAATAGAATGTGACCCTCTGTGCCCTCAGAACATGGTAAGGCTCTATGGAGTCTACAGTCCTTGCCATCTAAGACACAGCTTGGACTTTGATTCAAGAGGAAATGAGAGAGCAAGAAAGGAGAATGGGGTACAGTTGTAAAGTGTGCACAGCAGGACAAAGGGAGGTGTCCTGGGGAGGCAAGGAGGAGGGGACAACATTTCTGTGGGGCTGAAACTTGAGCTTCAAAAAA